GCGGGGGGGGCTGGCGCCCGTCCCCCCTGGGCTGCACTGCTGCCTTGAGCACCGTGGGCGGCTGCGCGATGCCGCTCACCGCCTCCACGCGCTGGCCTGGGGGAGGCGCTGAGCCCCTCCTGTGTCCCCCGTGTCACCTGCTGTCCCCCTCCCGGGAAAGACCCTGTGGGTCCCCAGGGTGCAGCAGAGACCCTCATGGGGTCCTGGAGGGGCTCGGGAGGGTCTCTGGGGGTCAGCAGGATCCTTCATGGGGTGCTGGGGGGCTCAGGAGGGTCGCTGGGGGTCAGCTGGGACCTTCACGGGGTCCTGGGGGTGGCTTGGGAGAGTCCCTGCGGGGGCCGCAGGGAACTTCATAGGGTCCTGGGTTGCTCGGGAGGGCCCCTGGAAGACCCTGGGGGGAAGCGGGGCCCTTCAAGGGGTGCTGGGGGGCTCAGGCAAGCCCCAGGGAGACCACTGTAGCCACATCCAGGTGGCCTTTTATCGCTCCACGGTTAGAGACCCCAGAACCTCCCCGAGGAGCCTCAGTCACCCCCACAGTAAAAAAGTGTCCTCCCAAGTCACTCTGTGTCTCAGGTTTTGCCCTGCGTCTCTTGTCCTGTCACTGCCAGTGCTGAGATCCCACCTGGGGGGGACCTCCTACAGCCAACTCTTCTCCAGGCTGAACAGTTCTGGCTCACACCGCCCGCCCAAGAGGCTCCCGGCCATGGAGCATCTCAGGGGCCCTTTACTGGACTCTCCCAGTCACCCCGTCTCTCTTGTACTGGTAGCCCAGGACTTGGACCCCGTGTTCAAAGGGTTGGCTCATCAGTGCTGAGTGGAGAGGAAGGAGCACACACCCTACTGCCACACCCCTCCGAGTACCACCCAGGATGGTGACGGCCTTCTTCGCGTGTTGCTACTTATGGTCACCTTAGTGGGCACCACAGCCCCAAGGGCCTTCAAAGCAAAAAGTGACGGGCACCCAGGCTGATGGGGCCCCAGGGTTAACAACCCCAAGGGTGATGGGCCCTACATATGATGGGCCCAAAGGGTAACCAGCACAGGTCTGATGGCCCAGGGTTAATCACCCCAAGGATGATGGGACCGAGGGCTGATGGGCCCCAAGAGTAAAAAACCCCAAGGGTGATGGGCCCCTGGGGGTAACCACCCCAATGGTGTTGGGCCCAATGGTTGATGGGCTTTAACCACTTCCAGGGTGGTGGGCTCCCAGGGTTATCCACCCCAAGTGTGATGGGAACCCAGGGTTAAGTACCTCGAGGTTGATGGGCCCAAGGAGTGATGGGCACCTGGGTTTAAACACCCCAAAGCTGGAGGGGCTCCAAAGCTGATGGGCCCCTGGGGTTTGACACCCAAAGGGTGACTGTGCCCGAGGTGTGACGGACCCCCGTGGTTAAACACCCCAAAGCTGAGCGGCTCCAAGGGGTCATGGGTCCCAGGGTTAACCACCCTGAGGGCGATGGGCCAAAGGCACGATGGCCCAACATCGTTAAACACCCCAATGGTGACGGGCCCCTGTGGAGATTGGATGCTGGGGTTTACCAACCCGTGGTTGACGGGCCCCCAGGTTTAACTACTCCAAAGTTGATGGGCCTGAGGGGTGATGGGAAACCAGGGTCAACCACCAGTACTGTTTTTTGTCTGGTATAGAGTTAAGTTTCTTCACAGTAGCCTGTATGGGGGCTACGTTTTGGATTTGTGCTGAAAACAGTGTTGACAGCGCAGGGATGTTTTAGTCATTGCTGAGCAGTGCTTACACAGCGCCAAGGCCTTTTCCGCTCCCCACGCTGCCCTGCCAGTGAGTAGGTTGGGGGTCCACAAGAAGTTGGGAGGGGACACAGCTGGGACAGCTGACCCTAAGTGACCAAAGGGACATCCCATACCATATGACTTCATGCTCAGCAATAAAACTGGCCAGGGAGGTGGAGGTTGGCAGGGGCTGCCATTGCTCAGGGATTAGCTGGGCATCCGAGGGTGCCAGGCTGGGAACTGGAAGGTCTTGTGGAAGTGCCAAAATGGAGAGACCTACCCAGAACCAGGAGCTCAGTGTGGGGGGTGGGGTGTGTCTCACCGGGGAGTCTGTAGTGTCACCTACACTGGTGACACTGTGACTGGACAGCAGCTGAGCTTGTCAAATTGGGTCTTTCTGCTGAGGGGAATCATAAAATCCTGGAATAATTCTGGTCAGAGGGGACAGCGAGAGGTTTCCAGCCCAACCCCGTGCCCAGAGCAGGTCCCATCAGGCTGCTCAAGGACATGCCCAACTGAGGTACGAACACCACCAAAGTCTTGCCCCCCTGGCTACAAGATCTGTCCGCTCTTTGGGCAAAAAAGCCCTCCTCTTTAAGGCCCAAATCACCATTTTTAGAGTCCCAACCCTCACGTTTAGGAGAAAAGGCTCATTCTTAGAGCTGAAACCTAAAACTTAATGGCAAAAAAACCTATGCGAAGGCCTAAAAGCAAGAATTTAGAGCCCAAAGCAACATTTTAAAGGTCCAAAGCCTCATTTTTAAGATTAAACGCCAGGTTATTTTTATAAAGCAAGCCTCAATATTAGGGCAAAAAATGTAATTTTTAAATGAACAAAGCCTACTTTTGGGGTCCAAAGAGTAATTTTTAAGGTCCAAACCCACATTTTGAGAGTACAAAAAACCTCATTTAGAAGTTCCAAGGTTCACGCTTTTAAGGTTCCAAGACACATTTTAAGAGCCCAGAGCATCATTTTTAAACCCCAAAGTCTGATTTTACAGGTCCAAAGCCTCATTTGTAGAGTCCAAACCCTTATTTATAGGGTCCAAATGCTCATTCTCGGGCCCAAAACCTCATTTTTGGTTTCAAAAGCGCCATTTTCAGGGACCAAAACCTCATCTCCAGGAACCATAGCTAAACATTAGGACCCAGTCTGCAATTTTGAGGACCCAAAGCCTCATTTTCAGGGTCCAAATAGGCACTTTGAGGGCATAAAGCCTCATTTTCAGGGTCCAAACTCCTCATTTAGGGCTCAAAGCCTCATTTTCTCAATGCCCAAAGCCTCATTCTGATCGTCCAAAGAGCCATTTTTAGGGTGTAAAGCCCCATTTTTAGGGCCCAAATCCTCACGTTTAGGCTCCAAGCCTGTCTCTTAGTACCCATAGCCTTTTTTTAGGACGCACAGTTTCCTTTTTAGGGTGCAAACCCTCATTGTTAGGAAGTTCCAAGGTTTACGCTTTTGAGGTTCAAAGACTCATTTCAAGGGCCCAGAGCGTCATTTTTAAGCCCCAAAGTCTGAGTTTGAAGGTTCAAAGCAGAGTCATGGTTTCTTTTAAAGCTCAGAAGATCCCCACACATGTCAGTCCTTATGCCTTTGCTTTCCAGAGCTGTGTTCAGACGAGCCTTGGTACCACGGAGTAAAGGTGGAGCTGGTATGTCAGGCAGACGTGCCTCTTGAACGACCATCTTCTTTGCTGTCCAGCCTGGGAGGAAGAGGAGGAGCCATGGCCCATCAAGCTGTAGAAGAAGTGGTATGAGGCATATACTGATGTTCTCGATCGTTATGTTGTTTGCTGAGTCGTTCTTCCAAATCAGAGAAGTAACAGCTAAAGCCTGAGTGTTTTACAGGCAGCATTGTCTTGGCAGGAACCTGGTGAATGCCAGCAGACGCAACCACCGCAGGCACTGGAGGAGACCTCCAAGCAGATGGCAGCTTGGGCATTTGCTCGGCAGGTCTTGGCTGAGCTTGGTGACTCGGTCTTGAGCAACCTTTGTGAGAGCGACTGTCCTTGTGACCCGACTGAGAGAGGTTTGTATGTTTTTTTTCTTTTTCATTTGTGAATGTAGCAATGTAACAGGCAGACTAGCCATGAAACACACTTGAGAGTCCTGTTCCTTAGTATTATGTGCTAAAAGGAAACTTTCTTTGTTCCTTTCCAATTGCAGCTAGGCAGGTTGTTGCTTTGTGGACCCATGCCAGTTAGAAAACTAATGTTTCTGCTCATGGGTAGTTTTTTGTTTTGTTTTTCTTTTCCTGAGAAGAGCTGCTTCTGCGTTCCTGTGAATTAAGCAGCTGGCTAGCACGAGCAGGCCACGGAAGAGGAGATCTCTGGCCTAACACCTGTGTTTTGGCAGATCAGCCAAAGAGATAGCAGGGTTTTGTGAGCCTTTCTGCATCTTTATTAAGGATTAACAGAGCAAGGGAGAAATGAGTTGACATTAGAAACTCAGTTACTGGTGTTTAACTGAAGAACCGTTTTTTAGGCTGGGGGCACTCTGGCCCAGCTCCATGAAGGTGGGGAACCTCAGAAAACAGGCAGGAATTAAGACAGCTAACGTCTCCTGAGAGATTTCATCTGGCTCTTCCAAAGGGAGTGTCTTTTAAGGAGGGTGGTCATCCTTTCATGTCTGTAGCCAAATGGAAATGACTCCCAAGGTGCTGCCCTTCCTCCTTGAGACACGAACGTTTTCTTGCTTTCTTCTTGTGAAGCTCTTGAGACCGACTCCCTTCCATGGCTGATGGCAGAAGTGGAGAAAACATTGGCAGAGAAGGCTCTGGGGAGGACAGAGCTTGGCGGCAAGTCTCCAAACCTTGAAATGTAAGCTCTTCTGCGTCATATTCTTGGTTTGTATTGCGGGTTTTTTTGCCACCGAGTCACAACAAATCTAACATTGCAGGGTAGAATTTCATTCTACCTTAAAAGAATGGTCGTTTGGAAACAGCATGCCATCTCACAGATGCACAGTACACTGCCTGGGCACTTGTGACCCTACCCATAGAGTCCATTCCCCACTAGTGGCCTACACCCACGTAGCCGCACAACGTCGCTTCCCTCTGCTCCCTGTCCTTGGGTCTAAGCCAAATTTTTGTCAGGCTGACAGAGGACAGTAGCTTTCCTCCTCGCAAGGCATCTCGAGCACAGAGCAGCCCAGAGTCTGTGTAGGAGGCTTCAGGCCCCAAAGGTGAGGCTTTTGGGCCCAACATGAGGCTTTCAAATGCTGCTCCGGACCCTTATGGGAAGCTCTGGGCCCTAGAAGTTAGGGTTTGGGCCTTAAAATGTGGTTTTGGGCTCTGAAAGGAGGCTTGGGCCTCTAAAAGGAGGGTTTGGAGCCTAAAAAGCAGGGTTTGGACCCCCAAAATGGGGCCTTGGACCCTAAATTGACCCTTTGGGACCTTAAAACCCCCATCATGGCGGCCACGCTGGAGCCCACAGCACCAGTGGGCGCAGACAAGGTGCTGCGGCACGCTGGGAGATGTCGTCCCAGGGGCGAAGGAAGGCAGCACATCCACACTGGCCTCGTCTCTCCTCCCTGTCAGGCACTGGCGGGACCATCCCCTCTGCTGTGCCCAAATGGCCTCCGAGGCCCGGAAAGGCCTGAGGGAAGGGCCAGACCTGCCTCAGTTTAGTAAAACTAAACCAGTAAACTAAAACTGAGGCTTTGGACCCTACAAATGAGGCTTGGTACCCTAAAATGAGGGTTAAGACCCTACAAATGAAGCTTTGGACCCTACAAATGCGGGTTAAAATGCTACAGATGAGCCTTTGGATTCTAAAAATGAAGATTTGGATCTAAAACTCATTCTCTGAGCCCTAAAAGGGAGGCTTTCCGCCCTGAAAAAGATGTTTGGATGCTAAAAATGAGGCTTTGAGACTCCGAATGTTTTGACCTATAATGAAGGTTAGGTTTGGACCCTAAAAATGAGGCTTTGAAAGCTATAAATGAGGTTCAGGCCCTCAAAATTCAGGTTTGGAAAACAAAAATGAGGCTTTGGACATTAAAAAGTCGATGCCCCGAAGCCTGTCAGTGTTTAAGAGGCATTTGGACAATGCCCTTATTAACACGCTTTAACTTGGTCAGCCCTGAATTGGTCAGGCAGCTTGACTAGATGATCGTTGTAGGTCCCTTACGACTGAAATAGCCTGTTCTGTTCTGTTCCTATTGTGTTCTAATTCGTATTCTGTTCTATTCGTATTCTGTTCTATTTTATGCCAAAAAACCTGAGGCTTTGGGCCCTAAAAATTAGAGACTGGATCCTAAGAATTAGGCTATAGGAAAATGAGGCTTTGGGAGCTAAACTGTGGGTTTGGGCGTGAAAGTGAGGCTTTGGACCCTAAAAATGAGGCTTTGAACCTTTGAAGTGGGGTTTGGAACTTCTAAATGCGTGTCTGTATCCTGAAAATGAGGTTTTGGACCTTAAAAATGACTCTCTGGACCCCCCCAGAGGAGGCTTTGGGCCCTAAAAATGAGGCTTGCACCTTGAAAATAAGTCTTTGGGCTTTAAAAACGTGGGGTTGGATCTTAAAAATGAGTCTTTGGACACTAAAATGCGGCTTTGGACCCTGACAATGATGATGATGTAGGCTCTAAATTGAGGGCTTGGGGCCCTTCCCCAAAAAGAGGGCTTAGACCCTACAAATCAGTATTTGGCCCCTCAAAATGAGGGTTTGGGCCTTAAAGATGGCGCTTTGGACCACATCAATGAGACTTTGGTAACCTCCTATGAGAGTCTGGATCTAAAAGCCAGGACTTGGGCTTTGAAAGTAAGAGTTTGGATTGTATAAATGAGGCTTTGCACAGTCAGTTGTGGCTTTGTAGCCTCAAAATGAGGCTTTGGACCGGGAAATTACGTTTTGTGTCCTGTAGTAGGGATTTGAACCCTATATGTAGGGTGTATATATATACACCCTAGAGACACACCCCACCCCCCACACTGAGCTCCTGGTTCTGGGTAGGTCTCTCCATTGTGGCACTTCCACAAGATCTTCCAATTCCCAGCCTGGCACCCTCGGATCTCTTGCAAACCGGTGCAGAAAGATCTGCCCCTGCAAAGTGAAATTCAGCTTTGCAGACCCCCCTCGCTCGCTCGCGCCAGCGTCCTCAGGAACAACCTTTGCTCAAGGTCAGGGACTGCATTTGTAGGGCGGCATCAGGGTGGCCCCTTCCCCCCGATGCTGGAGGGGGTCCTAAGCAGAAGCTTCCCGTAAGGACGGTTTGGTTCCTGGGTTGACTAGGATGGATTTGGGCAAGGAGGAAAATGCCGGGAAACAGCAGGGGCCACGAGTGCCACCGTGCTGGGACTGGAGATGGACCTTCTGTCAGCGTGGGTGGCCCACGGGATGGCCAAAGAGGGCGCCTACCTGGAGGATTTCATAAGTAGAGATAGAAATCGGACATAAATTGGGTCATCTGGGAGATAAATAGGACAGTAAAGAGCCCTGGCTCTACCCCAAGGGGAAATAGAAAGTCCAGGCCAGCGGAGCTGGGCTCAGCCTTGCTCTCTTGCCTTCCCCGGTCCCTTATGGCCCTGGGTGTAAGCTTAGGTGGCCTCCGCTGCCCCGTGCCCTCCATGCCTCCCCAGCTGCACTTGCATTCTCTCCTTTCCCCTCCAGGGATATTCAGTTCTTCACAACATTGCTCCAAGTGCCTGGTTGCCCTCTCTTGCCCCCAAAACCACGTTCCTTTCCAGAGTGGCCATGGAAAAGGTGCTTTGCAACTTCTCTGTGTTTTTATTCATCTCTTTTTCCCCGATCCCTCCAGGTGGGGCCTCTCCAGCCGAGGGAGCGCTGAGCTCGTCCAGCGCGAGGCATCGCCTCGGGCCGCTTGCACCAAAACAGAGGTGTTTGTCGAGGGGCGCCTCAAGCGTGCAGGCCTCAGCGCTCCGCACCCAGAATACAGACTTCCCTCATAGGCGGGCTCCTCACGCAGGCTGGCCTCAGAGCTCGTTGCCGATAATACGGCTATTACAGGTGTTACGAAGGTCGCCGCTTCCCGAGCGTGGGAGGGCTTGGCTTTTGCCGTCTGCGTCGTGGCAATTTCAGCGAGGATTTTGTCCACTAGTCCTTCTCCTCCTGCTCCTCCTCCTCCGTAGCTCTGAAGTTCTGCTGCCTGCGCTCGGCTCTGCCTTGGTGCTCGGCCGTTGGGCGCGGGTTTGCCCTTGGGTTGGCCGGTCGCAGGCTGCTTTTTTCCAGAGGAACCGCCTGGGATGACCCGCCGCTGCCTGGAAGGACACAACGGGAGAGGTCTAACCTGAGGAGGTCGATGGGTTTGTCGCCACGTCCCGCCCTCGCGAGCCACGCGCCTCTTTGTGCAGCCACCAGCGGCTCGGCTGAGGAAACCCCCTGAGCCGGGACCCTCGGCTGCCGCACGGCTGTCCCCGTGCACAGCTCAGGAGGCCACGCCGGGGGTCTCCTGAAGGGCCCGCGAGG